TTGGTGCAACACAGCTAATTTGTGTTCAGTAAAGAAATTGGCAGAGTTCATTACCGAATGAGAATAAGCTAGGTGGTTTGAGTCTGCTGTCCCACCACAAACAACAAATTTTAAGTTTTTAAAAATTCACCTTTAAACTGTTTGAAAAGCTGAAAAGATGGCTAAGGAACTGCAAGGTTAAATTAGGGGAGAAAGCCTGGCCCAAGGAGGCAAGTAGATCATCAGAGCACTAAAATCAGTTTTGCCTTTAAGATATTTGCCAAAACACAAATGGGCTTTGGTTGATCAACTCAAAGAGCAGGAGAAATGAAACAAAGCTCAGAGCGTGTAAAGTTGTAAAGTCTTGAAAAGTTGCCCCACACATTAAGCAGGGAGTAGGTTTACATTAGAACTAAACCTGCTCCCTGCTTAATGTGTGTATTGTAGCACATACCTGATTAGTAATAATTTTAAAATCCAGTAATACCAAGTGTTGGTAAGGATATGGAGCAACACAACTCTGATATACTGCTAAGCAGTGATGCAAATTTAGTACAATCATTTTGGAAAAGAATTTAGTGTTTTCTAATAAGGTTGAAGATAAATGTATTCAGTGACCTGGCAGCTCCATTCCTGCATATATACCACTTCCATTCCTGAGTATATACCATGGAGAAAGCATGCTGGTTTGCATTGTCCTTTGGGATAGTACTATCAGAACTAAACCTGCTCCCTGTCCTCCAAACTCCAGGGGACTGTAGAAAAACCTGCCTTGGCAGTGAGCAGACTAGAAAAGGAAAAAGGAAAACACATCCCTGAGAAGTTACTGCTGGCCCACTTACAGATTGGTACAACACAGACTTTGAGTGGGTAGGCCAAGGAATCTCAAACAGTGAATCTCATATAGATAATACTGCCCAGGAACCTAGCAGAAGCAAACGTAAAACTTCTCTGGCAAAGGGCTTATGTATCCTTACCTCAGCAACTCAATTTCCTACAAATAATTTTCAAGGGCAATAACCAGTTGAAAAATTACCAGAGCACTCAAGAAAACAAGGCAGAGAGAGAACTAACAGGAAAAAAAATGTGTTTTTTAAATGCAGCAGAAATACATTAACATAGCCAATTGGCATAGTTTTCAAGCACAGATATAAAATAAATAAGCTTACTGTATTTAACAAAATAAACACAAACAATGATTGCAGAGAACAGTAAACTGTAAAAAGTGGCATAGCAGATTTAAGGAGTACCAAATGGGACTTTTAGAAAAGAAAAATGATAACCAAAATTAAAATCTCCGTGAACATTTTGGCAGCACATTGCACTCAACAGAAGAGAGAATTAGTAAATTAAAAGATAAACTAGAAGAAGTTACTTCACTGCTACACAGAGAGAGACACAGTGGTGGAAACTGCAGTAGCAAAGTGGAGAAGGGTGTGGAAAACAACAAATGTAGGTTTGATGGAAGCTCTAAAGAGAGAGGAGAGAATGGCTGAGAATTTTCCAGATTTGGTGAAAGACATCAGTCCCAAACAGGAGTAGTGAAAAGAAACACAGACCTAGACACATTGTAGAGAAAATTCAGGGGGAAAAAAAAAAATTTTAAAGACATTACCTTCAAAAGAATATGACTTTTTAATACCACCAGAAGCCAGTGGGATGATATCCTCAGTATACTGAAAGAAAATAACTTTTTTTTTTTTTTTTTTTTTTGAGATGGAGTCTAGCTCTGTCACTCAGGCTAGAGTGCAGTGGCACAATCTCGGCTCACTGCCAGCTCCGCCTCCCGGGTTCACGCCATTCTCCTGCGTCAGCCTCCCGAGTAGCTGGGACCACAGGCGCCTGCCACCACGCCCGGCTAATTTTTTTGTATTTTTAGTAGAGACGGGGTTTCACCATGTTAGCCAGGATGGTCTCCATCTCCTGACTTCGTGATCCGCCCACCTTGGCCTCCCAAAGTGCTGGGATTACAGGCGTGAGCTGCCGTGCCCAGCTCCCAGTCTAGATTTCTACACAGAGTAAAAATATATTTCAAGAATGAATTATATTTGAAAAATATATAAATGAAGTATAATTATCTTTGAAAATATATAAATGAAATATATTTTCAAACAAAAAGAATTGATCATCAGCAAGTCATTGCCAAAAAAGTTCTAAAGAATAGACTTTTGGCAGAAGTAAAGTGAGCATGGATGGGAGGATTCATTTGCAAGAATGAACAGCAAAGGAAGAGGTAAATATGAGAACATGTATATATGATAATGTCTATGGGGCTGAAATCAGAACAAAGAAGTAAAATATCAGACAATTTGTAAATGGCAGGACAGAAGTGGTGGAAACTGGAGTTAAAGCTTCTAGGATCTTTGTATTATCCAGAAGGAAGTAAAGTAAACTTTAGACTTTGAAAAACGAAGTATATCTCTAATTTCTAAGGCAACCAGTAAAAAGAAATAGGAAAATATGTGTAACTTCTAAACGAATAGAAGGGGAGAAATGGAAGATTTATTTCCACTTATATTCAACAAGCTGATTCTCAAATATATATAGGAATGCAGAAAGCAAAAAAATAGCCAGAATGTTCAGAAAGCAAATGAACAAGGTCGGAGGACTTTCTCTACTTGATAGCAAGATCTATTATAAAGCTATGGTAACTAAAGATTGGCATTAATAAAAGGGACAGATAAGCAGATGGAACTAGTATAAAACCCAAAAACAGACCTATATATTTATGTATACATGACATACGACAGAGGTGGCACTGCAGAGCAGAGGGCAGACCTTTCGTGACATGTTCAGTCACAAAGTCAACTCCAGATGGGTTAAAGAAAAAGCATAAGGCAAAACATGAATTTTTTTCATAAGATAATTTCACATAGGGAAATGTTTTTTTAAAAACAAGACGAAAGGCTGGGCACCATGGCTCACACCTGTAATCCCAGCACTTTGGAAGGCTGAAGTGGGTGGATCACAAGGTCAGAAGATGGAGACCATCCTGGCTAACACGGTGAAACCCCATCTTTACTAAAAATACAAAAAATTAGCTGGGTGTGGTGGCGGCCGCCTGTGGTCCCAGCTACTCGGGAGGCTGAGGCAGGAGAACGGCGTGAACCTGGGAGGCAGAGCTTGCAGTGAGCCAACGTCGCGCCACTGCACTCCAGCCTGGGCAACAGAGTGAGACTCCGTCTCAGAAAGAACCAAAAAGTCATAACAATGAGAAAAAAATTAAAATGTTAAACCTTTGGTCATCAGAAGCTGCCTTTAGAAAGGGTAAGAAGAAAAAAAAAAGCCATGGGACGGGGAAAGATTTGTAGTATGTGTCACTGACCAAGGGCTTATGTACAAATTGTGAAAAGAACTCTTTTTAAAAAGGCAGACAACTCCGGCATTTCACAAAAGAGGGAGGAAAGGAGATTCAATAAATATGTGAAACTAGATTCACCTCAGTAGTAATAAGGGAAATGGAAATGCAATTCAAACCACAATGAAATATTGTAACACACCAGATTGGTGAAAACCAGTGGTAATAACTTAAAAATCCAGCAATAGTAAGTGTTGGTAAGGATGTAGAACAACATAACTTTGATATGTTAGCAGTGATGTGAATTTAGTACAGTTACTCTGGAAAGAGTTTAGTATTTTCTTTTTTCTTTTCTTTTTTTTTTTTTTTTTGAGACAGAGTCTCGCTCTGTCGCCCAGGCTAGGGTGCAGTGGCGCTATCTCAGCTCACTGCAAGCTCCGCCTCCCAGGTTCACACCATTCTCCTGCCTCAGCCTCCCCAGCAACTGGGACTACAGGCACTCGCCACCACGCCCAGCTAATTTTTTTGTATTTTTAGTAGAGACGGGGTTTCACCGGGTTAGCCAGGATGGTCTCGATCTCTTGACCTTGTGATCCGCCTGCCTTGGCCTCCTGAAGTGCTGGGATTACAGGCGTGAGCCACCGCGCCCAGCCTGAGTTTAGTATTTTCTAATAAGGTTGAAGATAAATGTATCCAGTGACCTGGCAATTCCATTCCTACATATATACCACTTCCTTTCCTAAGTCTGTACCGTGGAGAAAAGCATGCTTATGTGCATTAAGGATATTCATAGCAACATTGTTCTTAATAGCCAAAAATCTGTCCATCAAGAGTAAAATGGAAAATGGTGAATATTATGAACAATGAAAATAAACTTTGGTTACATGTAACAACGATGAGTCCACAATGTTGGAGGAAAGAAGCAAGACAAAGAATATATATAGTATGACCCAGTTTATATAAAACAGACAACACTAAAAAGTATTGGTTATGGCAAGCCTTGGCAAACTTTCCTTTAAAGGCAAGATGATAACTATTTTAGACTTAACTGCCACATAGTCTCTGTCACAACCAAAAGCTACTAAACTCTGCCACTGTAGGGCAGAAGCAGCCCTAGTCCAACGAAAGCTGTGTTCAGCAAGAACGAACACCAACTTTATGGATACTTGTATTCAAGATAAAATTACTTTTAAAAGTGAGGGAATGGGAGGAGGAAAATGACAACCATAAGAAGCTTTTGGAGAAGGGAGGGATTTATGATCAGGGAAGGATGAATGTGGACTTCCAGGATGCTGGCAGTGCTTGCGTGTGGCTTGCGTGTGGAGGTTGCCCGGGTGTTCACTGTATCTTAAATTCTGTAAAAGTTGCACCACAAGTTGTATGTCTTAAGTTTTAAAAAATAAAAATTTCAGTGTTTCCTTAAATGGTTAATTATTCAGTTTTATGTGGATTTTTGTTTGCTTCTGAATTGCCCTGCTTACTTGCTGAAATGTGTCAAAGAAGTATTTCTAAAAGAACTTAAATAATATAAGACTATTATCTTCCATGTGATTTTTTTAAATCACAAACATTTAAAAACATAGAACACTACTTTGGATTAATAATTCAGGATATGACCACTAGATAATATATGTCAGAGGCTTAGATATAATATAGCTTTCAGTGACAGTCTTGGCTTGTTCACACCGAAGAATTACAGCTGTCGTCTTTCTCTTATTCCCAGGTTCAGTAGATGAAGGCGTTTCGGAGGGGTTGCCTACACTTCAAAGCTCGTCTAGCACTGCCGCTCCTCCAGATGATGACGACCGGTCAGTACTGACAGCATTTCGTTACCTCGTAGGGGTTGTGTTTACAACTCCAAATTCAAACATTTCATCTCAGAGTTGTAGAAGTGTGTTACAACTTCACTTCAGTATACTTTTCAGAGTAATGAAGTAGCATCATCACATTATAAATTAGAGCACCTGTACAAGGCTTTTTTTTCCCCAACGTTTCCAAAACTACCTAGTCCTGTTGCTTTAAATCATATCTGTATCAAGTATTGGCAAACTATGAACCGCAGGCCAATTCCAGCCCACCACCTTTATTTGTAAATCAAGTATTATTGGAACACAACCACACTCATTTGTTGACATATTGTTTGTGGATGGCAGAGTTGAGTGGTTGAAACAGACTGTATGGTGTGCAAAGTCAGAATGTGTGCTGTATGGACTGCTGCGAAAAACGTCTGCCAAAGTCTGATCTGTATACCCATAACTCCCTCCCTGCTTGATATTTCCACATAAACGTACAAAGGGCATTTCACATTTAATAAGGCCAAGACAGAACTCTTGATTTCTGACTCCGTGTCTGAATCCTGATTCTCCAGCCTTCCTCCCATTTCAGTGAGCAGCATCATTATCCCCTAATTTCTCAAGCAAAATCTCTATGAGGATTATTCTTAATCTTTTTTCCTTACCACTCTTCATCTCCCTCCTTGCTTAGTTAATCCTTAAATGAGTCCTGTTAACTCTGCCTATAAAACATATCCTTGTCTACTTTTCCAATCTGTACGGTAGCCACCCTACTCTTAAGTCACCCACCATCTTTTGCCTTGACTACTGCAATAGCCTTCAAACTAGCCTCTGATTGCATTCTTCCCCAGTTCGAATCCATTTTCCACGTAGCAGCCAAAATCATCTTTTCTTTTTTAATTAGTCAGATTATATCACTGTTTTAAGCTATAGATTCTTAACATTCTTTATTCATACCTAAAATCTATAGGCGTTGCTATGCCTTCTAAAGCCCTACATGATATGACTTCTGCCTCACTCCTTTCAGAGTAGTCTCCCTGTTACCCTACATTCTAGCCTCATAGACTTTTCACAGTTCCTGGAGTACTCCATATTTGTTCCTGCCTTTGGGCCATTCTGTCACTTTAGGACCTTTGCCTGAAAAGCTTGCTCTCTCAGTTTTCGCAGTGTTGGCTCCAGATTCTTGACCTTCAGATCACTGTCTTGGTATCGGTTCTCAAGGAGGCTTTTCCTGACCACCAGTCTCAAGCAGCACCCAGTCACTATTAGATCCTTCTAATTTAATTCTCTGCTCTGATAATTTCCTTGATTATTTATTATCTGTGTCTCACCCACTGAATGTAGACTCCACTGAACGATTGCATTCTTCCTCAGACAAGGTCCAGGCCAATCTTAAAAACTGTATTTGTTGAAAACTTGAAAGATTCAAGGGACTCAAATTAGGTTTATTTTTCTCGAATAGCTAAGCCTGGTAGGGGAGGTTATCAACCGGAATCATTTATGGATTAATGAAAGCATAAACAAACAGCAGTGTGCCTAGACTCCTTAATTTCAAGTATTAATCAGGTTGGTTGTTCTGTGTTAGATACTGTTCTGCATGGTAGTAATATAGAGATAAGATATGCAGCCCCTTGCCTCAAGGAGCTCAGTCAATTTTGGAGGAAGTATAAGGATTGAAGATAGACAAACAGATTACCATAAGTGATCTGCAGAGCTCTGTTGCCCTGCATGGGAGGATGCCTACCGCAACCACTGAAAAATCAAAGACGGCTTCCCTGAGGAGCATGTGGCTTCCTAGCTACATTTCGTAAAATGAGTAGGCAGTTGGTATAGGATATGTTTGGGGAGTATGACAAAAAATGAGGCTAGAAAGGTACAGAGAGCTCAGATCATGAGGAATCATGTATGCCTTGCAAAGGGGTTTGATTTTATTCTGAATATAACAGCCATTGCAGAATTTTAGACAGGGGACTGATTTGATCAGATCGCTATGATACAGTGAGAGGGATGGATTAGAGGAGTGTGGAGCTAAATGGAGAGAGTTATTAATTCAGGCTTGTATTAATGAAGGCCTAAATTTAAGAAGTGGTTAGAAGGAAAGAATTGGCGAGATTAAGGACATCAAAGGTAAAATAGTTGATGATATGTTCTGTGGTTGTATGTCATTCTGGGCTGGGTGCGGTGGCTCATGCCCGTGATCCCAGCACTTTGGGACACCAAGGCAGGCAGATCACCTGAGGTCAGGAGTTCGAGACCAGCCTGTTCAATATGGTGAGACCCCATCTCTACTAAAATACAAAAATTAGTCGGGCGTGGTGGCAGGCGCCTGTCATCCCAGCTACTTGGGAAACTGAGGCTGGAGAATCACTTGAACCTGGGAGGCGGAGGTTTCAGTGAGCTGAAATCATGCCACTGTACTCCAATCCAGCCTGGGTGACAGAGCGAGACTCCATCTCAAAAAAAAGAAAAAAGGCATTCTGGACAGTAACATTGTTTTTCATATTGTTAGTGAAACTTGAAATCTAACAGTTAAACTGTTTGAAAAAGTCTTTAAATGTTTTATCTTTTTTCATTTAAAATTGACCTGTAGCAGTGTTTATTCAGTTTAAAAATCAGAGCCTGGTTGCCTTCTTTGGTCTGTTTTTTTTAGATTGGAAAATGTTCAGTATCCCTACCAACTCTACATTGCTCCTTCTACCAGCAGTACAGAACGACCAAGTCCAAATGGTCCCGACAGACCTTTTCAGTGTCCAACCTGCGGGGTGCGTTTCACCCGTATTCAGAACCTAAAGCAGCACATGCTCATCCACTCAGGTAATGTCACCTTTCCTGTTGTTGCATAAGTGAACACTCTAAAAATAAAGATTTTATTTTGGAATCCCAGTTAAAATAGAAAACAGGGGTTTCTGAGTTTTAAAAAAACTCTGAGAAGTCAAATGAAAACAGATTAGCTAAGGTTTATTGCCAAAATGGTGCAGTGTCAGAAAGCTGTTTGCCATCAGTGTTAAGTATTCTGATTAAAAGAACATAAGGTGATATGGAGTGAGTACTTTGTAAATAAAGAGACATATTAGGTGTGCACATAGAGGTGAGATAGATAAGCACAACCACAGATGGTAAAGCAAATAGGGTTAAAAGGGTCTGTATGGGTGTTCTTTGTGCTGTTCTTCTTATAATGTGTCTGTAAGTTTGAAATTATTCCCAAATAAAAGTGTGTTTAAAAATGTAATATTTTCTTGCAATTTACTTTCAGTTCTACAGTCCTAAATCTCCGTGTGCCCTGATGAGTCAGCTTTGTAGTTTGTATTTTTTTAAAACATAAGAGATATTTTGGATAAATGTATAGAAGGGATTTGAAACTTTAGTTCAGTAATCACATGAAGGCAACAGGATTCTTGTGGGTAAAACACTGACCTCTGATGAGTAAGAGATCTCTGCTGCTGTTTCAGCTGCGTGAGTTACTAGCTCACTTTCCCCTTCTGTAGATAGGTCTTATAGTCCCTGTCCTAGCACCAGCTCTCTGTGACTTTGTTCAGTCAGCAGATTGTGTTTTGAAAGGTTTTAAAATTTTTTCCCCAAAACACTGTGATAATGCATTTGAGGAGACTATTAGTACACTTTATAACTCATTTATTTCTATCAGTATTACCCAGAAAAACCCATTTTATCAAATGATGGTTCTGTCATGCTCATTACATTCAGAGATGTTAAAATTGTTCTTTCTTCTTCTCATTTCTCTGTGAGATAGGGAACAGAGAGTAGGTACTGATGATTTTCACATCTTTTCAATATAAGCCTTTCTAATGAAATGAAATAATACATGGTGTTACATGGGGATTTGGGTTCTGTCTATATACTGTAGTTAAATTGTGTTTTGAAGTTAGTAAAATAGATGATTTAGAAAAGTATTCAAAAATCAACTTCAGTAGACATTACCTAATTTGCCTCCCCTACTGCCTTTTTCTTTTCCTTTTTAAGCACTGTGGCTTTTCACATATTCTTTTTTTTTTTTTTTTTTTTTGAGACGGAGTCTGGCTCTGTCGCCCAGACTGGAGTGCAGTGGCGCGATCTCAGCTCACTGCAAGCTCCACCTCCCAGGTTCACGCCATTCTCCTGCCTCAGCCTCCCAAGTAGCTGGGACTACAGGCGCCCGCCACCATGCCTGGCTAATTTTTTGTATTTTTAGTGGAGACGGGGTTTCACTGTGTTAGACGGGACAGTCTGGATCTCCTGACCTTGTGATTCTCCTGCCTTGACCTCCCAGGGTGCTGGGATTACAGGCGTGAGCCACTGCGCCTGGCCTTATTGGAAATTTTACCATGTCAGATGATACTTAGTAATTAAACCATTTCAGTGTGACCGCTGTGGGAAAAAGTTCACCAGGGCTTACTCGCTAAAGATGCATCGCCTAAAGCATGAAGGTAAACGCTGTTTCCGGTGCCAGATATGTAGTGCCACTTTCACTTCCTTCGGGGAATATAAACACCACATGAGGGTTTCCCGGCACATTATCCGCAAGCCTCGGATTTACGAGTGCAAAACATGTGGCGCCATGTTCACCAACTCTGGAAATTTAATCGTGCACCTGAGGAGTCTGAACCATGAAGCATCAGAGCTAGCAAACTACTTCCAGAGCAGGTGAGGTGCACAACAAAAACCCAACCAGGAAAACTGCTTTCTAAACTCTCTTTTCCTGCTTTTAGGGCAGCCTTCTGTGTTTTTACATTAGGTTGCCAGCTAGTCAGTCCCTGATCTGATAAAATTTTGCTGAGTCTTCTAAGCATATAAAATTATAAACATTTTATAGTTGGTATTAAAAATATCTTCCTGCACAAGTAGACTACTTGTCCTCTTGAGATATTTTTTAAATAGTAGAAGGTTTAAGTAATTCCGTAATGGACCTTAAATAGATCTTATCGGAAATTTTTTTTTTTTTTTTTGAGGGGGGGTCTCGCCCTGTCTCCCAGACTGGAGTGCAGTGGCGCGATCTCAGCTCACTGCAAGCTCCGCCTCCCAGGTTCATGCCATTCTGCTGCCTCAGCCTCCCAAGTAGCTGGGACTACAGGCGCCCGCCACCATGCCTGGCTAATTTTTTGTATTTTTAGTGGAGACGGGGTTTCACTGTGTTAGCCGGGACAGTCTGGATCTCCTGACCTTGTGATTCTCCTGCCTTGACCTCCCAGGGTGCTGGGATTACAGGCGTGAGCCACTGCGCCTGGCCTTATTGGAAATTTTACCATGTCAGATGATACTTAGTGGTAGTGGATTACTTCAGACTCTGGATGTTAATAAAATTCTTGACCACTTCTCTCTATTTAAAAAAATTCTATATAAAGGAATATCCATTGGCCAGTAAGAAAAATTTTCAGTAGCAACTATAATGGGTGTGATGGTTTAGATCATGAAGTCATTCCTATTTTCATTCAGTTTAGAGCTCTATTATTTTAATATTAATATATAATAGAATTACCTTTCTGATTTGTAGGGCATCCAAGGAAATCAGATTCTAGTTCTGGCTCTGCCACTAACTGCTGTTGATTAAACGTGTCACTTTACAGATGAAAAAGCTTGAAACTTAGAGAAAGATAGAATGTAAGCTTTAAATGATGGTTTCTAAGGCCTCCTCTAGATATAAAACTGTTGTTTTAAATTGTTTATAAGAATTGTACTTCTGCAGGAATCCTTAGTTTCTAATTAAATAAAATTTTTACAAATCTTTTTTTTTTTTTTTTTTGGAGACAGTCTTACTCTGTCACCCAGGCTGGAATGCAGTGGCACAATTTTGACTTACTGCAACCTCAGCCTCCTGAGTAGGTGGGATTACAGGTGCCCACCATTACACTCAGCTAATATTTGTATTTTTAGTAGAGATGGGGTTTCATCATGTTGGCCAGTCTGATCTTGAACCCCTGACCTGAAGTGATCTGCCTGCCTTGGCCTCCCAAAGTGCTGTGGGATTACAGGCGTGAGCCACCATGCCCAGCCCAAATCTTTACATTTTAAGTCACCTTTATTTTTAAAACCTTTTTATTTTTTAATTGAATAGATGGGGTCTTGCTGGGTTGCCCAGGCTGAAGTGCAGTGGCTATTCATAGACACAATCATAGCGCACTACAGTCTCAAACTCCTGGGGTCAAGCAATTTCCTGCTGGGACTACAAGTGTGGGCCACCATGCCTGACTTAAAACCTTATTTTTAAACAAATTCCAAATTATTCCTGCATAGATTTTATTTTTCCCCTCAACCAGACATTCATTTTGTTTAATGCAGTCATCTCTAATTCTGAATGTGTGGTTGCCATATCACTAAACCTTAGATTATACATATATTAAACACAGTTTGTTCAGGACTAAAATAGTGTTGCTGTTAACTACTCATGTTATCTTTATCTTCCCTGTGCAGAGCCCTGCATTCTCCACTCTTCTTCTCTAACACCTGAAGACTTTTTAGAAGACACAACATAGGGCACTCTAAATTGCTTTGCAGATGAGCAGATTTTATTTTTTTATTAATACTGAACAGTAAAATTATAACTTTATCAAGTCTAATTACATATATTATTGACAATTCTGGTATAATGAAATTTTTAGTTCAGTAATAAAGATCTAAATAAAGCCTCTAAGATAAGACTTATTTCACATACTTAGTTTCAATTACCAAAAAATGCTTATAAGTTGAAAATTTAGGAAATACAGAAAAGTATAAAGAAATTTAATGTTTTCTGATCTCAACACTTAAGGAAATTAGCCACTGTTTTAGTATATTTTACTGTCCGTGTTTCCTGTGGGGACCAATAATTACTTTTTGAGGATTAACAACCAATCTCAAGGCATTCATTTCCACATTCTGATTCAAAGATAATTTATTAGTATTTTCATATACCAAATGTAATAGCAGGATACACATAAATTACTTTGTACATTTCCCAACTTTATAGTAGATTTTGTATCAGGTCATTTATGCATAAGGACTTAGTTTCTTAACTAACCCATGTGAAGTTTAGTAATACAAAGCTAGGTTTATATATCTCTTACTCAATGTATAATCAAGAAAAGTTAAGCATTACTCAGATGATCTTTGTTTAAGTGAGCATGCTGCATTTGTTTTGTATATAGAAACTCCTCTGCATAGAACAAGAAAGGCTGTTAAGGTGTCCAAAGTTATAATGAAAGTGATAACCTGATGTATTGGTGGTAGGGAAGATTGATACATTTTGGTTTTAATGGATGTTTTGGTTCATGTTTAGCAAAGTTTGTAAGTGGAAAGTTCCTGAGTTTTAATCTTCACCAAACAATTAGTGAAATGAAAAGTCCCAATTTTGTTGTATAAATCAGAGCTTTTTATTGTTGCTTATCTATTACTGGCTTGAAAATTAATTCCATATTTCGTCCTTTGCCTCTTATCTAGTGATTTCCTAGTACCGGACTACTTAAACCAGGAACAAGAAGAGACCCTTGTTCAATATGATCTTGGAGAACACGGTTTTGAAAGCAACTCCTCTGTTCAAATGCCTGTAATTTCACAGGTCTCCTCAACCCAGAATTGTGAAAGCACTTTTCCCTTGGGGTCTCTTGGTGGGCTGGCAGAAAAAGAGGAAGAAGTGCCAGAGCAGCCAAAGACCAGTGCTTGTGCTGAGGCAACCAGAGATGACCCCCCAAAATCAGAGCTGTCTTCTATAACTATTGAGTAATTTTGTGATTTGGCTTCAGTTTTGTTTTTTGGAAAGTGCCTGTGCTTGGTCTTGTACATTTAAATTTAATTTAATTTTTTAAACAAAAAAAGCCGGGTGGGAGGGAGGGAGAGATTGGGAAAGCATTTCCCTTTTCACTTGCTGAGCCCTGAAACTGATTTTATTTTTCATAACTGAGAGATTGCTTCTGTAAGTACACAATAACATGATGTTGAAACAGAAACTATGAGACTTAAGGAGATCTGGTTGACTTAAAACTTATACCAGTTTCTTCTTCCATTGTTAAAAGTAGGCTAACAACAGACCATTAGCTAGAGAGGAAATCTGATGATTATTGACCTTCCTGAGTTGAGAGGGTACATGAGAAACTAATTACTAAACAGCTTGTCAAATGGCCTGAGTAGATACTTAACGGCTGTACGCAGGACATTGTATAATATTTTGTAAAACCTGTTGTTTTTGGAAGTATTTATGGTAAGCTTTCTTAAAAATTATTAGGGTAAATACTTCTGAAATCCGGCACACTTTTTTTATTTTAAGCTTTGTCATTTCTGTTGTGATTTTTCATGGTGAAAGTTTGGTACTGAGATGGGCATTCTCTGTACCTTTATAGTACCACTCCAAAGGCAAAGAACCATGATTGACAACAGTCAAGCTGTGGATGAAATGACCAGGAACGGAGAATGAAGTATGTAAATCTCAGCTTCGTAGGAATTCTTCTTATATTGCTTTTCTGATTAAAATTGCTGTTTACCTGGTCTCTGAATGTTAATGCCTGACCATGTCATTGCCCGAATCAGTTTTCCCCTTGCCCGGTCAATATGGTCTCTTGCATATATTGGCGTGCTGCCATATAAAGTAAAAATATTGGAGATATTCTATATTTTATGTATAGGTTTATGTATTGTTGGGGATGTTTTCATTGTGCTCTTTTGGACATAAAGAAGAATTCTCGGTTGAGGCTACATCTTTTTTTTTTTTTTTTTTTTTTTTAAGAGGATGGCATCTGTTGCCCAGGCCGCAGTATAGTGGCTAAGTCATAGCTCACTGCAGCTTCGAACTCCTGGGCTCAGGCCATTCTGTCTCAGCTTCTTGAGTATCTAGGATTATAGGCATGCTCCACCACACCTGGCTGACTTCGTTTTTATTTTTTGTGGAGACAAGGTTTCACTATGGTGCCCAGGCTGGTCTTGAACTCCTCGGCCAAGTGATTCTCCTCCTCTGGCCTCCCAAACTGCCGGGATCACTGCACCAGCCAAGGCTACATTCTTAACCCAACTAGATTGTTTACTGAATCCCATATGACAGCGATACATTGTCCCTACATATTTTTAGACATTGCAAAGTTATTAAAAACAGTTACTATCGTTTTTACACAATGTAGGCAACAATGTAAAAGATGAATATAGACTGTAAGATTTTCATCTATGACTTACAAATCTGAGAGAAAAAAGAAAATTGTTAAGACTAATGAGAAAATGAAAACCTTAAACTAATGAATATTACCATTTCTGCTGCTGAAAGTGTGAAACTTTTCTGGTCTGGAGTTGAAATTTATATGATCCTCTAGACGGGTATACTTTTCATCTGGTGCCATTAAAGCGTCTCTAATACTGATCCTAAATATTTGTAAGTCCATGAACAGTGAACTTTGGAATGAGTTTCTGTGTAGATACCCAAAGTTTAATAATTATGAGAGCACCTGATTTGATTAGACAAGAGACAGAAAATACAGTTCTTTAGTCAAAACACAAGATCTGAATTTTGTTCAGGTGCTAGACCATACTAAATGTATATATTTTTAATTACAGTGATTCGTTTCAATTTTTTAGATTGGCTAATTCTGTAATTTTTTTCCCCAAAAACATGTGAAGAAAGGAAAAGTAAATTAAATTCCTTAGAACTGTTTTAGGTTAGGATTCTCTGTCTCTGCCTATATTCTGCAGTCCTTAACTTGTTTTCAGTTCTTTACCTCACTCATGAACTTGTTTTTACCCATGTGCTCCCAAACAGAGGTGTGTTCTCTTCAGGAGAACCAGCATACACAGGTTGTGATAGGCTGCCACTGTTTATGCTTCTTCACTGATAGGGTTGAATTGCTTTCTGCAGCAGACTAGAATACTTCATATAGTAATGCTGTGTCTCCACTGGAGACGTCAGGAATTTTAATGTCACGTTGTGGTCTTTAAAAACTGTTAGGCCTACCAATAGATAAATCTCAAAATTAATTCTAAAATCTGTATTGACAAGAATAGGTAAAATTATCACCAGGAATCATTGTTACCGTTAGTTCCAAGAGGTTTTTTTTTGTTTTTGAAAGAGCAAGAGGAAAGAAATAAGAATAAAGAAATGTATAAGAATGGTTTGCAGATTTATTGGTTAAAAGTGTTTTTTAGTACATCCCTGACCCTGAAAACTTCACATTAAGAGATCCAAGCACAGTTTTGGTAGCTCTAAGATATTCTGTGTTCTCAGAATGAAGGATTACCCATCACTGGGTATTCCTTCCCAAGTAGAAACTTTAGATTTTCACTGGTAATTACAAATTGCCAAGTTTTATGGGAAATCTGAATATACTGTGAAAATTCATATCTGGTTAGTTATCTGCTGCCCAGATCTTATCAATACCAGTAACTAACCAGAATTTACCATAAAATGATACAAACAAAGGCCTTTTTCTATTTCAGTGAGGGTACATTTTTCTTGATACATGTGCTTCAAGGATATTGGATCTGTTTATGGATCTGTTTTAGGAAACAGATTTGCAAGGGATAATTGTATATATAGTAGTATTTAGATTTATTTCAAATTCATCTTAGGGATGCCTAGATGCATAATTTTTATCAGGACATATTGAAAATATTGCAAAGAGATAGCCAGTTATATTATCCCATTCATTAGAAGTTACCAGTATAACTAAACATAAATATTCCAGTTTAGAGTACTTAAACGTAGCTATCTTTCTTAAAGCCAGGAGGGTAACTTTGTGGTATCTAAAGGGCTTAAATTTCAGAATGCAGAATAAATTGCCTTTTTAAAACCAAACATTTTATACAAGAAAAGCTTTTATTTTCAGTTTTTTAACTACCAAATAGGTGTGATGTACTTTAGAAGTAAACAAAAAGATGTTCACCCATGATAATGGATGTTAAATCTCCTGCAGTTGTTCTTCTCATGTTTAAAGGGTATATTCTCATAGTGGAAGCATCTAGCATGTCAGTGATTTCATCTAATTCAGAAACAAAGGGATTAATATTGGTCTTTATTTTTTGGTATTTTAAGTTTTATATAAATGGATGCAGATGGAGATTATCACCCACAAATATATTTAAGTGGATTTTTCTCAATTTGAATTTCAAGTAATTTTTTTATTTCAAGTAATTATGCATTTAGTTACATTGCCGGTTTTTTTAAGTTCTCAATTTCAGTAAGACAAAATATACTAAAATATTTAAATAGCTTCATTCAATCTTACATTCTGACATTTCAGCAACCATTCTGGCTTACAGTAATTAGGCCCCTTGTTATGAGACATGCCCTTTGTTATTAATAACTAGCAAAAAGAAAAACCTTTCATCTTGTTAAAATACTTTACCAAATGAAATAGACGAGTTAACACATCTAAAGTCCATAATTATTGGTAACTCAGTTACCTTCTAACTAAGGCTAGTTCAGGAGACTCTCCCAGTTTATAAATGGTTCCCTTGGGAGCCTTTGGAAGCTATATTAAATATTTCTTTATTTCTTCTTTTATTCTCTTAATCTAAATAGAGGCCAGTTACCTATTTTATCCATTTTTATCTTGAAGATTCTCAGATTATGTTTTAGTCCCTTTTAGCTTTAATAGTCCTTGAAAAATACATTACTGTATAATGTAGTGGCAATTCTGTAACACACAGAGAATTATTCTTATTACTTGAATGAATCCTAAAATTTTAATATTTTAGCTGAAAGAAGTTTGAGATTTGTGGAATTGATGAACAAAAGAATTAGAAACTTTCATATGGTACTTTGTTTCACTCATCTGCAAAGTATGAAGTTGTAATTCTGAAATATACATCCAAGTGAATGAGAATTAAAAATTTTCTGAATATTAATACTAACTGGGAAAAACAGAAAACTAGTGTGAAGTTTACAGTTAGAAGAAACAGACCCAAAGTTGCCAAAAGGTAATAAATAAATGTAGTTTTCACTGTAAGTTATTGATGTAAGATGCTTTATTTGTAATATATTTAGATTTTGAAAGTTATTGAGAGATGAATGTATAAAAGCTAAATTTTCTTTTCTGAAGCAGCGAAACAAAACTGGGGTAACAAGGAAGCTCTATGGTGGCAAACACGTCTGTGAGGAATATTAAGCACACTCCCACAGGCTTTAAACTCAAATCATGAACATTTAAATTAAGTCGTTCCTTATTTTGCCTATACCCATTTTTACCTTTCAGTGTCGTTTTTGCTTGACAGAGTATGGTGACAGAGTGTTTTTATTTGGAAAGTCCTCAGCAAGATGAATTAGCCAAAAGCAATAATGGTTCAGATTAAACAATGAAGTGGAATTGATTCAGTCCCAGGCCCAACTAAGGAACAGTTGCTCTCTGGGTGTCTCATTTTAGATGATCGATAAGTTGAGATGTTGTAATATTTATGGGGGGTTAAGCCTATGTCAATTATGGGATGAAGACTGGTAGTACCACTACCATCAGTAGTCATACTTTTTTTTTTAACTTTTTACTAAACTAATACTAGACATTTCCACTCTGTCATGATTATATTTTTATGACAGGAAAATAAAAACAGTTCCATGTTTTTATAAATAGTCTCTGCAAAGATTTCAGATGTTATTGGTATCTCGGTTTGGCAGTATCTGAAAAATCGAGATTGCCTTTAAAGTGTTCATGCTACTTTTACTTAAGTAAACCTCCACTGTATAAGACCCAGGCCGGTTCCAACTAATACCAAGGTTTCTATGCGCATAATAGTTTACAAAGAACTTAAAGACTATGGATTAAAAACAAAAATTTTTTTAACTTTAAAATTTTTAATTTTTGTTCAAAGTATCTGGTTTATAAAGTCAAATTCTTTTATTATTTCCTTTCTCTTTTAAGTTGACTGATTTTGCTGATTAAGCGTAAAGTCCTGGGCACAGTTGTGATGACGTACTGATAAAATGGGTGCCTAGTGGGTTGAGGAGCTCCAGTGTCAAGACTTTTATTAAATTGCCCTTGTTTTCCCAAATGCCAATCTAGCCGTATTTAGATTTCATTATTCAATAAAACAGATTAAAAATCATCCCATAAATGAATGTTGAGGTTACCAAAGTACATCACCTGCTGAGGAAGGAGAAATCTTCCTGCTTTAAGGGAGCCCTGTCGTCTCTCCTTTACACGTTGTTTCCGTTGGTATTAGTGGAAGCTTTGTTCAAGATGGGAAGCCTTTCCTGCAGTTCTTAGAAACACCTGCTTTCTAAAGAGAGCCTTTTCTAGGATTAGGTTACGTGTGTTTTCTCTAGGAGATTTTTTATTTCAGTTACCAATTTAATTTTCAAGTTGACAGATGCTATGTGAAGTCTCTCATACTGAGAGTAGTCCATTAAAGTTTTGAAAGTTGCACTGCTTTTCATCTTTCAGGTACCTGAAATGAATGACATCAGGTGTTTGGAAGGAGTAAGATCATAAACTTTATTCATTTTCTTCCTTGTACAAAGTGATGACTTCTAATGCTTATATCTCAAGGTATTTTTTAAAAAAGCAACAGTCCCTAATAGAGTAAAATTTGGTTTTGGTCCAAGTTCCCAATAATATATTTAATGTTTCTGTTGTTACTGGTGCCTCCTGTTGCATCAGATAGAGACTGCCTGCCTCTTTGTGGGGCACCCTTGTGGCACCTTATGTCCAACTTGGAGGATAGTATATGGCTTCTTTGTGCCTCTACTATCTTTTCAAAAGCCATTTTATAAAAATCTTAGGTAGCCTATTTTAATATTTAAATATATATATTTGTGAAAGAACTTTTACAACAGACTTTTTTTTTTACTTTAAAATTCCTGTATTTCCATTTTTAAGAGTAAATTTAATCTCCAGGATATAGAAGTGTCTTTTTTCCAGAGAAGCATAATGAGAAAGTCAGATTGAGGTAATAGACCAGAATTAAGTGATAGAAGAAGCTGTTGTTTGGTTAAAGGACACAGGTTTGAAGGGAAAAAATTTTGATGTAACAAATTTTTAAATAAAATGTTGTTTTTGTTCTGTAATTTCATATTTGCTGCTACAGTAGCTCAATATTTTACAGGGCTAACATAAATCTGGCTCCATTTAAAAACTGGAGTACTTCCTAGTGCAGCCAGCCTAGGCAGAAACTGTACACATGGTCTTCCAGCTGGGTGACTGATGGCTTTGTGTAGCTGATGCATGCTTTAATATTTGCCTATAGCCCTGCAGCAAGGAAGTCGAGGTGGGGGTACTTTTTTACCCTGCCAGTTATAGCATTATGATTCTTTCTGGGCACTGGCATTTTGTGAAACTCTCAAGGGAAGGTGATGCAGGGGAGAAAATGTGAATTAAATTACATAGATGGGTGTTTTTATGTCTTCTACCCCTTTCCTAGAATTAGTACAACTCTTAACTGTGCCAGTCCCCAGTTCACCAGCTTTGTATCCAGTCGTCATCTCATTCAAGTATGGCTTTACTTGGTGACACTGGCCATAGCTAAATTACTTGGCATGTTTGACTTTTGACAATAACAGAAATTGTTTTGGATTTTGTTTTATTTCCAAAAAATGTATACAATGTCAGAACTTCACATTTTATATACTAGTATCTGGCTATTAGTATTTTACAGAAACCATAGTTCTTGGTGACTACACACATATATATATATATATATATATATATTTTTGTGACCTTTTTTGTAAACTAAGTGCCGTTTCAACGTTACAATCATTTTTAGAGTTATTGTAATCAATGTGAATATCATGTTTTTTCAAATCTGTTCTGAGCCTATAGTGTTTGCTTTGTGAACATAAGTGTATTGTATATATTCTGTATAGTTATATTGTACTGAAATTAGCTTGTTTGATATAAGGAAAATATGTATTGAGTACCTTTTTGCTAGCCTGATTGTTTAATCTTTTTAAAAAAGGTTTAAACTTTTTTTAAAAAAAAAAAAATTCCTTAAACTGGCCTTTATTACATGGTCACACATAAAGTTGCAGTTAGGAAAGGGATGGGCAGGGAAAAACTAGTTTTGAGTGTCTTTAGATAGAAACATGAGACTAAGGTTTGGTTTTGTTTTCGTTTTCTCATTAAAATATCTTATGCTTTATGGAATAAAACTTCCTGCTGTTGTTATTTATTGTTTGCTGGGCGGTGGTGTTGGCTGAGGTCATGTGAGTGAGAAAAGGCATCAGAGTAATTCATTACTTAAATAATTATCTACTTAGAGTACACAGAGTAGAGAGGGTTACATGAGACAGCACATGTCAATTTTTGGTGAAGTAGAGCTTTGTTGCAAAGAACTCAAAAACACCATACCCCAACTTGGAAGGAGAGTATAAAGGCAGCTAGTTAGACGAAGTCATCCAATTCTAGAGCTATTGAATCAGGTTCTTGTATAAAGCTGGGTACTAATGGGTGGGTTGCATCTTTCAGAGTTGCTCTAATTCTTTCTGAAGTCGTATTTTATTGACTAGAGACCAATTGGTGCCATTTCGATGATACCTTACAACCAGGGAGTGAAAAGCAGGTGCCTAACAGGGGAAAACAGCTCATTACATAGGTAATGAGTTCATGAGATCCTGAGGAAGCAAAAGTTTTCTAACTTTAGATTCATTGATGTGGATTTTGACAATACTGGTCTTTAGAATGACAGTAATAGGCAACGAAAATTATTTTATTGACCTCAAGCTACCTGGATCATTTTAGAATTAAGTTCAGAGAGGAAGAGGGTAAATTTTAAGAAGCATACTCTTTCATTCCAGTGTGTTGAGCATTTTTAACAATTTGCCAAATCATTCAAGGTTAGAAAATGTTGAGTTCTTCAGTAGCCTTGACTCTGTGCAGAATGAAGAATTCAAAACAGATATATCCTTGCCAGCCATGGTGGCCCACATCTGTAATCCCAGCACTTTGGAAGGCTGAGGGAGGAGAATCACTTGAGCGCAGGAGTTCAAGACCAGCCTGGACAACATAGGGAGACGTTGTCTCTACAAAAAAAAAAAAAAGCTGGGCCTGTGGCATGCACCTGTAGTCCCAGCTACTGAGGAGGCTAAGGCGGGAGAATTGCTTGAACCTGGAAGGTCAAGACTGCAGTGAGCTGAGACTGCACCACTGCACTCAAGCCCAGGTGACAGAGTGAGAACCTGTCAGTTGACTTTGCATACTTGCGTATAAATTGTGTACCAGAAAGATTCCTTTCAGAGAATGTGATACTAAAAGTAATGACCAAAGATGTGTATCTCCTCAACTGATAGAGCAGAAATTAATAGTTTGGGCTTTTTCTCTTTTGAACGGGAATTTTGGTTCTGAGAACTAAACTTCAGAAAATTAACAAAATCTACAGACATACCAAAGGTTTAAAGGGGGAGAACTTGCTTGGAACATCAAACCGCAAAATTTAATGTAATTCTTTTTTGGGAGAGTAAACTTCTATAGAGATAGAAAAACTAACACAGGGCATATTCAGTCTTCAAAAGTCAGTCCTCTGGAGCAAATAGATTTGTAACCAGGGTTTGGACACTTTTAGGGACAGAGGGAAAGCTGTTTTGTTGTTGTTTTCTTAAATTCTAATTCATTTACTTGGATTTTTCTGCAAAATTAAAAATTTTATACCTATCTATTTTGTAGATAAGAGAGTGGAGCTGGCATTAGCATCATTTTGCAAGGCTTCCTCACTTAATCTAACCATGCCCTTTCTTCCACACCTGCCTAATTTTTTCCATGACTAACATTTCTGGCTGCCTTTGGCTGGAAGTCATTTAGTAAGTGAGTGTCTCATTTACCAGAGATCCTGAAAATTAGGCTCAGTACCCCACACACACCCCTAGTAAAGGGCCAGCTCAAATGACTTGGCCTTTGACCATTCTTGACATCTAGAGACCCTCTGTTGAGAAAGTTGCCTTAGGACATAGCAAGAAAATATTACACCAAATAAATGTTCTGTAGCCTGTTTTAAATGGGGGCTCAGACAGAAATGCTCACTTTGACAGTTCAACAGCAGTACACATAGTAGGACCTGTGTACATAACTTTCATCCAGGAACAGAATTCTTTGTTGAGTGCAAATGACTCACAAAATTAGTAAACAATCCTTTTCTTTCTTTTTTTTTGAGACAGTCTCGCTGTCGCCGAAGCTGGAGTGCAGTGTTGTGATCTCAGCTCACTGCAACCTCTGCCTCCTGGGTTCAAGAGATTCTCCTGCCTCAGCCTCCCGGGTAGCTGGGACTACAGGCACGTGCAACCACACCTGACTAAGTTTTTGTATTTTTAGTGGAGATAGTGTTTCACCGTGTTAGCCAGGATGGTCTCTGTCTCCTGACCCCGTGATCCACTCACCTCGGCCTCCCAAAGTGCTGGGACTACAGGCGTGAGCCACCACACCCAGCCTAACAATCCTTTTCGTTTTGTTTTACAGTTTATAAAATGCTAGCACTTTTTAGCTATGTGATCTTCAGAAACCCAGTAAGATAAACAGGAAAAGTACTAACAGATGTGTGGTCCACGTAAATGGTGCCCTTCCTGCCCATTACAGGGGAAAGATCCACTGAGAAATCAGGCCGTGAACAGATCTGGAGTCTGTGGACTCCGCTCTCTCCCAGACTCTGTTCTCCCTGTTCCTGGAAGAACGGGAATTGGGGTTCTTTTGTGCATTGGCACTTTGTGAAACCTTTGAGTGAGGGTAATGCTGCAGGGACATGGGAATTCTCCAGGTGGCGGTTTGTATCTCAGTTATCTTAAAGGAGAGCCATTGTAACTTTTTGTTATGGTGTGAGAATTGCTCGTGACCATTTTCTAAAGATGTGCACTGGTTGATGTTTTCTCATGTGGTCCTATCTATTTACTACCTCCACAAGGGTTATCCTTCCCACCCCTGCTGATAACATTTTCCATTATTCATCCCTGCTGCTACTAGCTGAATTCGAGCCTGTGTTGTTTCTGGCCTAATAGCAGCACCAGCCGCCTTGCTGCCATTCTCTCCCTTCAGCTGGGCTTCCTTCCAGTCCATCCTTGGCGTTGCTACTGGAGTCATCTTTCTACTCAGGCCACTGCCCTGCCTAAAGCCTCCCAGCCCCCACTTCCGCGGAACCCGCCCCTCAGTCCTCACACTCCCCTTCTACCTACCTCCAGTTTGAGGTTCATTCACTCCTGTAGATTCCCATAGCAGATTTTGTTTGGCTTTACCAAACCACTTCTCAGCCACACAGCCTTGCAAAATCTACCTCAGAGTAGTTGTGAGAATCAAGTGAGTTATATGTAAAATGCTTAAAACCATGCCTCGTATATTGTGACTACTTCAGAAGCCTTGTCTGTTATTACAAGACGGGCATCACAGTCGTGTGTCTCCCTCACCTGATGACATTCTTGATGTCAGGGAATATGCCTTCTATGTGTATGTCCTCTGTAGTACCTGGTACAGAGAACTCAAAAACTGTCAAAGGAATGATTAGATGTTGCCAAGAAGTGGTCATAATCCCCATGTACGACAGTGCTTAGAGGTATTTACCCGGGAACTTTAGGACAGAATACCTAGAATTGTTTTCATTAGACCGCCAGATGATTATACTCAACTCTCACTTCAGCAAATGTCTCAGGGTCTCACTCGTTTTTAAATGAGGGTCTGAAATAGAAGGCTGTATGAGTTATGAATTAATACTAACTTTAATCCTCAGAACAACGGCTATCAGCCTGGCTAGAATTTCCCCAAACTGTTCTTTAGGACACTGGCATCTGCCGTTTTTCTCCCCTTCACCTGGTTTCCTCATCCATTAAGTTCATGTTAAGGGTCACTTCTTAAGGAACCTTTCCCAGAGACTTTGTATTATGTTCACATAACATCCTGCGCTTCTGTTACTGTGGTTACCGACTAACAACAGCTGGACTAACCCCCATTACGTTAAGTTCCACTAGGACAGTGACCCTGTCTGTTTCTTGTACCAGGGGGTCCCCGGGCCCAAGGTTGTTTGAATGAATGACATCTCTGCCCTTAAGGAGCTTATGGAAGTAAGCAGAAGTAAAGAATTACAGAAATACAACTGATAGAAATAACTGCCGTGAGAGAAACACCGAAACGTATACTTTGGAAATTTGAAGAAGAGGGAGACCTGGCTGCAGGGGTGAGGGAAGGTAGCATGGCAGAGGCACCACTTGAGCTGGGTCTTCCTTGGGAAGAGATGTGGGATTTGTACAGACAAGTGACGGAGAAGGAGATGACTCCAGGAAGGAAGATGCAGCGTCAGAGGTTGAGGAAACAGAAGGAGGTAGCTTGCTGAGCCTTGCAGGTTCCCTGAAGGGGAAGAGTGGAAGAAAAACCTTATGAACGAGACTAGCACCAGGTCAGAGGAGGTCTGAAGAGCTACAGCTATATTTGGTAGGAAATCAAGAATTGTCTCACATTTTCGAGCACAGAAGCATCAGAGCCGTCTCTAGAAAGATGAAAAGCAGATTAAAGGGATGCATATGGACTTAACTGAGACCCCTGAGTTACAACAGAACTGCGGGTAAGAACCCAGAAGAAGGGGCTGGGAGCGGGGCTGGAGAGGAAGGCGTGTTGTGTTCGTGATATCGGGGCCGAAAGAGACACGGTAGTTGGGGAGAGTGGAGAGAGGTGGGCCTGATCTCCAGTCCAGGTGTCACCTCTGCACAGTAGAGAATAGCTGCTGTATTCTAAGCTGTAGCAACACCAAGTATGTGGCCTCCTTAAATGCTTAGGCAAACGCCCTTTTTTGTTGTTGGTTTTTTGAGAGGGAACTGCCCAAGAAAATGGAGCAAGAATTAGGCCAAGTTCAAGAGTTGGGCTTCAGAATTAGGCTAAAGGAGAGATTTCCCCCTCCCCATGCTGCCCCCCGCCCCCGCCGCGGCACTTTGGGAGGCTGAGGTGCGTAGATCACCTGAGGTCAGGAGTTTGAGACCAGCCTGGCCAACATGGTAAAACCCCACATCTACTGAAAGTACAAAAAATAGTTGTGGTGGCGGGCACTTGTAATCCCACCTAGTGGGGAGGCTGAGGCAGGAGAGTCGCATGAACCCGGGAGACGGAGGTTCCAGTGATCTGAGATCGCACCACTGCACTCCAGCCTGGGCAACAAGAGCGAAACTCTGGCTCAAAAAAAGATGGCTTT